TATATATATATATATATAGTGTATACACCATGTACTTACGCATACACATTTTACTTGCATATTCACAAGTCAAAGTCCTGCAATCCTGAAATTGATGCAGGCTCTGTAGTGTAAAATTTGGGCGAGTTATGTGATTACAACTTACATTTTCGACGAATTGGTCGCGTATAAGCGAGGTTATCATAGACGATTTCCCAACCCCTGAATCTCCCAGTAGCAGAATTCGGACAGAGCTCTTCATAGTGGCTAAATTCTATTTATATAACTAAATCAATCTATAGTGTTTATTCGATGTACACACACATACACCTGTGGTCAGTGTCTCTCATACAGTCCAACTATCGTATGGGCAGGATATAATATCAATGAATGTACTACTTCAAGAAGGTTTCAGGCTTTCAGTAGTATGCTATAGTCAACAATATATTTAATATCTATATGATGTAGATTGGGTGCTAAAATACTATCTATTTACATATACCATACATACTCCTTCATGAAATACTCGTGATTTGACGTGTTGGGTGGCACTGCGCCGCAGCCGCCAATGCCGGCAGATATCTGTCCAGTGTCCACCGCCACGATCCGTTAAACGGGTCCGATATAGAAGCTGAACGTAAACGCTTATTTACACCTTCGATTGCTAAACTTTGTGAAAGTTTATACGGGTTAGAAGACTGGAAGCATATGTCCTATTATAAAACTTAAACGGACTTTCTGAGGGGAATGCGTCTGGTGACGTTGATCCTTGGGCTCGTAGTATACACCCATATCAGAGACTATAGGCCATAGGGCCTTCAAGAGAAAAAACGTTATATATAAACGTATATTTTTTCAAGATATATACGTTTTAGCGCAAAACGTATTGAGATTAGATCCATTTGTGGAGACTGGGAACTGGGGATCCCTATGACATTCGCTATTGCGTAGTGATGAAATAATCCTATGATGTCATAAATAGAAACTGTCTTAATTTCACATACATTTTAATACAAGTTTGAATTGTGTTTTATTATACAATATATATATATATATATATATATATATTATGTTAAACTAGAGCTAGATATTCGATAAAAGTGTGCTTTGACTTCCTCTATCAAATAATTATGGCTTTTAAATTATGTGTATTTAAATACATATTCAGTCATAAATGATAAACGACATATTCTACCACACACGGCAGGACACAAAAGTCCAAAAGTGTTCGCAACCGAATCTCTCGTGCTATTTTCTATGACGGAATAAGCCGATGTATATTTAGTGTATGCAGGCTACGGGGTGGATCATGTTTATTTCCGAAAACACCGGTAAACAAAGATGAGTCATATCAATATGTCATGCGAATTTAGATTATCGTTGTTGATCGGATGAGCAACTTTATTATTATTATATGACGCGTCAAATGATACACTATAACTATGTGTGCTATACTATACATATAACTGCGTTAGAATATATATTGTGTGTTATTGTATATGTATGTATAGAATTATATATATATATATATATCGAAAACAGTAGAGTGAGGTGTATACAATTGAGCTATCACGGGCAGTTCAATAGACTATGGTTATTTCAAAGGCAATATTGATGAGTCTATACTGCTGACAGAGCGCCCGACTGCCAGTAAACTCAGCTCAGCTTTCAGCTATATATATATATATATATACATGTAAACAAATATATCTGCAGGAAGTTAAAAGGGTGCTAAATATAACTTGCGAGACACCCCGACTTCAATACCATGGCGGTGTTTAGCGTATCGTTACCCGTGAGATACCTATTCAGCATAGCACTATATGTGTGCTTAGTATCGTCAACTGAAGCTGTTGTAGTAGAGATGCAACAGAGCAAATCACTCTCTGGCATGAGCACAAGTGAGCACTTCCCCACACAGCCAGCGACATCCGGATCTCGTACATTAAATACACACACGCTTACATCACACTTATCACATTCAACACGTACATTGCAACATCTCAGCGAAGCAACTGAAGTTAATGGCAGGTCCTATGCACAGCTGTACGACGCGGTTGGCTCGTACTGTGAAGAATGGGCCGTTCGCTTCAATACAATAACCGATGCTGAGCAGAGGCTGCAACGTTTAGATGCATTAAAACGGGGCGCAGAGCGGGGAGAAAGTGGAGAGACATATAACAATATCAATAGGTATTACCATGATGTGGCAGATGATGTTGCGCGGCGACATAACATGCTACACCTAGGCCAGGTACGTCTACCTCTGATAGGCCGTCTGTCAGTTGGTATACGAAGATATAGTATAATTCAATAGGTTGCAAGGATAGTAGTATCGAATACCTGCTACAGGAAGACTCGCCCTTTCCTAGAATGCCTAGAATTTAAGTTCTATATCAATTGGTAATTGTCGTGCAACTAATTTACATGTCTATAAGAAATTGTAAGAATAAATATATTTTAATTGGCGAGGTTTGGATTAAAAACGATGGTGCCAATTATAGCGTGAATGTTGTGCATACGTTTAAAAATATATTCAATCATCCATATCCTTACATACGTAGGTATATATATATATATATATATATA